AGTTAATAAATTTTGTAAAACTGTTTTTATAAAACTATTTTTATATTAATTAATTATTATTTTTTTATATATATATTTTATGTTACAGTTGTATAAAAACTCTTTTAATAATAGTATAGATTTATTAGGCAATTTGTAATTTGAATTTTATTAGGTAATTTAAAAGTGGTGATTTATTTTTTTTTAGGTAAATTTTAGAGTTTTATAAAAACTATTTTTATATTAATTCATAAATAACTCTTTTTATAAAAACTCTTTTTACATTAATTAATAAGAATTTTTTTATATTTTGTGTTACAGTTTTATATAAACTCTTTTAATAATAGTATGTATTAGGTAATTTGAAAGTGATGATTTATATTATTAGGTAATTTTGAAATTGGTGATTTATTTTATTAGGTGATTCTTTTTAGAAACAAATAGATAAATAGGTAATTCTTTTAATAACAATATAGATTTATTAGGTAATTTGTAATTCAAATTTTATTAGGTAATTTGAAATTGGTGATTTATTTTATTAGGTAGTTTTTTTTAGAAACAAATAGATAAATAGGTAATTTGAATTTTATTATGTAATTTGAAGTATATTATGTAATTTTTAGACTTTTATATCAATTAATAAATATTTTTTTATATTAATAAATAAATACTAAAATAGTGAAAAACTCTTGTTAGAGTTTTATAGAAACTCTTCTAATAATAATAATATAGATTTTTTATACTAATTAATAAATATTTAATAGGTTTATAGAAATTTTTTTTATTAAAATTATTTTTGTAATTTGAATTTTATTAGATAATTTAAAAGTGAAAAGACACGTGCAAGTAGATATTTTGTAGTGTAACAGTACTGCTAAGGAATGGTGTGAGTCTCTGAGTGATGTAAATTTTCCCTCTTTTATTTGCTTTTTTGCTATGCCCGTATTCCTTTCACTCAGATCACGAATCAAAAGGATTCTATAGCAACCGCGATTTTTTTTAAGAGACGTGTTATATATTTATATATATATATATATATTGTTAGTTATTTATATAAGGAGATAAAGCTATCATCTAATTTATTTTGAAATTTAAAAGAGTTTTAATTGAACTCAACCACTGGATATATATGTAAATGTCTAGAATTAGTTGTATTAAGTTTTTACCTACGTTGCTATCCCGAGGATTTTACGCGTTCGTTGTTGTGAAGCGAAGAAAAGTCAGGCAAGTTAATTCTTGCTTGTAACCCCTTTTATATATTTGTGCTAAGATCACTATTTATGATTTAATTATAGAATTCATGAATTTTGATTTGGTTAGAATGGTGGAGATTGCATATAGAAGCACTGAGTTAATCCGATATTATAGATTTGTATGATGCTATATTCTGTACTTCTCGATTATTCTTGTATAAGGATACTGTGGAGAATTACTAGTGATGTTTACAAGTCATTTTGGAATTTTGTCAATCTCCAATAAAATTAGCTTTAAGTTTATGACGCATCTTAAATTTGACATAGTTTATGCGTTATTATTCCTCTGTTATCTCATGATGGTTATCCTAGTGATAAGCTTGGGTAGATTGTTTTGATTTATTAATTGTATTTATATAATCATGATTTAGAGAGAGACTGATATTATTGCAGGGGGGTTGGGAATTATATATTAGTTAAATTGATTACATGTATTGGACTTTTGTGTGGCCTGTAGTAGAGCACTATAGTGCATATGTATTCATAGATGACACAGTACCTATATTTACGTAGATTAGGTTTCTAGTTTTGTTGTCATTAATATAAATTATTGTCAGAAGAATTTGTTTCATAACCTGTATAGTCAGTAGCAAAAGAGATATTGAACCAAGATGAGATTATTATTTTTAACCAATTATGGACTGGTTTATGGGTTATGGGACTATGTTCATAGCATATTTAACAGATGTTGTCTTAATGCAGTATAAGTCATTGTGTGGTTTGAAAAAGAGTAAATGCTTGGAGTTCTGTATTTTACAAAGAATGGAAATTGCTTTAGTTATCACACATGAATTGATAATGGTGATTAAAAGTATTAAATTATTAGAGTAATGAATAAGATGATGGTGGTGGTTGGCGGTAAATGGGTTTTGAGGTTTTGCATGTCATTAATACACTAGTACGAATGTTGGATTATTGATCGGGAGATAATTATTTAATAATCTGGTGTAAGAATTTATTTGGGAGAATTATGAACTCTTGATGTTGTGCATGTGTTGTACATAAATATTATGAAGAATTTAGAAATATATCTAATAGATGGTATTTTATTGCACACATATATGTGGATTAGTTGTTCAATTAGTTCAACTTGGCTGCTGGTAGCTTTGCGTCTTGGTATATATAATTCATGGTTATATAGGTGTCAATTAAGGATCCGTGGATTTCAGTAAAGAAATTGAACTAGTATTAGAAGTTAAGCCATGGTATAAATGATGGTGAGTGCAGTTAAAGTCAACTCAGATTGGCCGATAATGAGGGTGATTTTTAGAATGTAAGTTAGCAGGTTGCAAAATCTAAGACTACGAGTATGTTATGGAATGTTTTTAGTTATCAATTATTTAGGTAATTAATTAAGGTATTTGGTGTACTCGGGAAATTATGAGTTATGATTACTAAATGTTAAAGATATTTATCAAAGCAATGTTTTTGGTATTTAGATGAGGTATGTGAACTAGACGGAACAGTAGTTCGGGACTAACCTCTTAATGATTAGTCCAGATTATCGGATCAGTTAGGCATGGTCAGGGACCAACCTTATGCAAGTGCACTATTTTGTGTTATGGCCATGGGTCTAATGAGCCCTTATTGTGTGGACGTGATCAGGGATCATCTGGGTGAGTAGACGTACAACACAGCCACATGTGTGCAATTTGTAGTCAGGGACTATGCAATTCACATCATTTAATCTGAATGGAGCCGGGGGCTCATGTGAGGTAATGGCAATAGAATGCCAACCAGTTGAGGGGAGCCAGGGGCTTATGTAAGGTAAGTAGAATTTTAGTATTTTAAATTCTGGATGGGTTACAAGTTCACAGTTTGAGTAATGTTATAAAATGTCGATGATTTATAGATATTTCGTAGTCACTTATATATATATATATATATATATATATATATATATATATATATATATATATACGGATTATAAGTAAGGATTGACTTGCTGAACGATGATAGTGTTTAGCAATTTCTTGCTGAGCTTGTGAGCTCACCCCTTTATTACTTTCCGGTGCACATGGATTTAGCTTGCAAAGGAGGCTCAGTGGGAGAAGGAGATTTTCGAATTTCTACATTATGATTTTATTATTGTTTCTTAGTAAACACTTTGTAATAAAAATCACTTAGTTGGTGGAATTTTTAAATTAGTTGGGGATGTACCAGATTTCCTTTGGATTGATGGATTTTTTTAATAAAATGTTTTCTTATTGGTTTAATCATGAATTATGGTGAGTGTATGATGTGAGTCACGCAGCACATTTTAGTATTGGACAATGGTTCTTATGTTAGAATTTTTAGGGCGTGACAGATTCGGTTGCTTGGCACCCTTAATCTGGACATTCAACTTCATTATCTTATCTAGTCAATCTCTTTTTTTTTCCATGCATTGTGTGACACTGAAGAAAGGGCTTCCTCGCCCCATGAACGGAAGGTTCCAAAGAGGAATCTTGTCAGTGTTCAAGCATGTTCATCAAGCTCTTCGCGAAAACCATAGTTTGGAGATCAGATTGGCCCGAAAGAAGCATGAATTTGGGATCTTGAGAAATTATTGAAGAATGGAAAAACCACAAATTCCTAGCTAAAAAAGCTAGACCCAACTCCCACCGTGCCCTTTTTGATTACCAACTGAAATCTACACATATAGATTATCTACAAGCAAAATTCCACAAGACATGAGCTTGAACTCATGCATTGAGAGAAGAACGGAGAGGGATTATTTATGGGATTTAAGAAATCAAAACCTTCCAAATTCTCCTTCCATGTAGAGACCTGCCAAGTCTGAAGGTTGGTGAATCGCCCTGACAAGTGTTTTTGAACCCCACTCAACAACACATCTTAAAATTCAATAATACAAATCACAACCATACACAACTCAGGGTACAACTGAGTGGGACTGGTACTAACAAGAGAATTACATTTCTGAATCCCTCAAGACCCTCTAGATTTTTCGAGATTTATAGAATTTTCAATTTATATCTTCTTTCCCCCTTCTTCCATGCCTCTATTTATAGGCTTGATGATATGTGCCCTCTTGATTGAATTTCAAATAAAATAATGATTTTCTTTTATTAAAAAGTAATTTGTGTTAGAGTTTATAGAAACTCTTTAAATATATCTATGTCTAATGTGATAGAGTTTTATAGAAATTATTTTATTTACTTTAAATATATATTAATAATACTTGTATAATTAAATTTCCTTTTATTAAAAAAACTCACAATAAATAGATAAATATGTAATTTGTGTTAGAGTTATATAGAAACTCATTAAATATATCTTTGTCTAATGTGATAGAGTTTTATTGAAAAAAAAAATAGGTAATTTGTTTAAATATATCTTTGTCTAATGTGAATTTTAAGAGTTTTATATTAATTAATAAATATTTTTTTATATTAATAAATAAATACTGAAACACTAAAATATTTTGCACATTTAATAATAGTATAAATATATGTGAAAGTATTTACAGTATTGAGTTTGGGCCATTTTATCAAAGAGGCCCAACAAGCAAGTGCATAGAACATTAACAAAAGTTCAAGACCAAAGTTTTTCTTTTTTTGGGGTAAATAGTTAAAGCCCAAAGTATTGCAGGCAAATCCAGCCCGATAAAAGGCCCAACCGGCTTGTCTAATCAGGTAGCGGTTGTGTGGTTGATCTGTTACTTTGGACACTCCATACAAAATGTAAGATAAACGTGTGTAGCTAGCTAGCTACATCGTTGGATTGAGGGTTGTTTTGTGGGTCCAATATGTCATAATTGCATTGACAATGGGGACGACAGCTGACACCCTTTTTGTAAGTTGGCCTAACCCTCCGCGATGGAATTGATTTATTGATTCGAGCAGGGTTTAATCAGAGCATCTAAAAGTCCATACTCTCTCTAAATGATTATTTTCTGTATTTCATTTGAAATTTATGGAATGAAATAAATACTTTTACTGTATTTGAGGGTCAAATAAAATCTTATCAACGGATTGCTATTGAAAGCTTGTCAACAAGCCAATGCGAAAGCCACTCTTTAATTCCACGCAAAAGTATTTTTTCTAAATTATAATGATACTACTATTGTTTTGGCTAGTAGATTTGGTCTCTTTTTTCACACTTAAACTCTCTTTTATGTCTCCTTAAGTGCGTACATGTACTTTTTTGCATTTGTTTTTGAAAATTCATGTTTTTTTGCATTGATTTGACTCTATGGTTTTGGCTAGATTGGTCTCCTTTTTCACACTTGGATTTGCATTTTTTTTAAAAAAAAAAATTCATGTTTCACAAATGCCATAAGAGACAGAAAGGCAAAAAAATATTCCCCATATAGAGGGACAAAATATTATTAGTCAGCTCAAATATATAAAGGTCATAAAAATAATAAATTATTAGATGGTTCTAATTCATTTAATACGTGAAAAATAAATTAAATTCGAATACTTGTTGAGATTTTTTTGTTATAAATTAATACATTCTTGTGAGGTTATTTTCTCAATGAAAGAGTCTAAATTAAATTGGTACACCAACTATTTATGGACTTGGTTCATTTAATAATTTCTCCGTAAAGAGTTGTCCAAATAGAATTGTAGGTATATATATAAGTCATTTTCCGTAGAAAAGAGTAAAATGCTTTACTTAATCATGTATGTTAGCAAACACAAAATCAAAAATTAAAAATCATTTTTAAAAAAACAAAATCAGTCCTAAATTATTTAAAATAAATTATACTGACATTCATTCAAATTTGTTAAAATTATATAAACATATTTATGATATATAAGTGATATTTACATGAATTTCTCCGAAATAATTTTAAAAATTACACTAAACTCTCATTAAAAATGATATTCTACAACAATTACGCTTTCATTAATGGTCGGTATATCGGTCTGAAAGATGAAAAATGATAATGTCAAAAAAAGTTGAAATCTTATTACTAATCCCATTTTATGAGATATAGTTATTGAAGAAATATTATATCATATTAAGGCATATTAGTAATGTCACACCAACAAATAATTACCAACTAGAAAAGTCATTTAAATTTTTGAGGCAATAGTGAAGGCTTATGTAAATTTTTTGAGGCTGCACAATTCATGTGCTCACATTTACCTATATATATAAAAGAAGATGCGGCTAAAACTGTTTTTAAAACAAAAGATGGGTTTCTTCGTACGGATGCTTTTTAGGGTAATTTACACTGAATTTCTCTGTTGTTTCAAAAATAACACCCCCCTCCCCAACTAGCGTTCACTGTGACTATAATGTCTTAAATGACAATTATACCCATCCTACTTCACTGTTAATTACCATAATAACATATGAACAAAAATATCATTTCAAGTTTTCTAACAGGCAAAATTAGATTTTAAGTAAATTTTAAGCATGGCATTGTTTCGATGTAAAATATATTGTTTGGATTTTTTTTTCTTTTTCAGGTAATATATATATATATATATATATATATATATATATATATATATATTCGTTTTTGATAAAGGTTTAGGTCGAGATTAAAATCGAGTCCATTTAGTGGGCCATATAAAATAATTTGTTAAAATTGATGAGTAAGTTGTTTTTGTTAAATTTTATTATTTTTTGCTTCGTAAATATTTTATAACAAACAAACACCATAAAATAAAATAAAAATATTTTACGGAGCCTACATCAACAATATTGACGGATTTTGTGATAGAAGAGTCATTATCACTCAAACTAAAACTATATGAGAGGTCAGTATTATTTTTGAAATTAGAAGTGAGATCCCTGTTATTTAGGCATTCAATAGGGGAGGTCAGTTGGGCGTAAATATCAAATGGGATGGTTATGTAATAGTTCTTGGTCTAATCTCTAGGCCTGTATATTTATCTAGTTTCTATATATTAAATTTACATTTCAAAAAAAATAAAAAATAAAAATAAATAGGGGAGGTCAGTGCATATATTTTATTTATTCTTTTTTAGTGCATTTTTATGTATGATGAAGTTTACAAATTAAACTCCAATTTTTTTCTGTTCATTATGTATACAAATACAAACTCGGCAAGATGGCAAACTAAAAAATAAAATTGGACATTATTATAGAAGGATTAGGCAATATGCATATTATATATATATATACACACACACACACACAAATTCAAAATAAGAATTATTTGTCAGTATATGTCATTCTTAATTTGTTATGATATATAAAAATACAGAAACTATCTCTTGCACACTATTGAACAAGAAAGTTTCTTCATAATTATAGTATTTTTTTTTTTTTTTTTTTTTGTAACTATCTATTCATCACTATATTTGGTGTGGAGAAAATTTCTTGTTAATTAGTGTGTAGGAGATCATTTCTGGTCATTTCTATTATATACTTGTATAGTTGTGTGTGTGTATATATATATATATATATCAAACATTTCCTCTTTGATCTTCTTACTTTTTTTTTTTTTTTTTTTGGGTAATTAAGTATGTCTAACATTTTCTTATAATACATGGGGAAATTAAGACAAGTTGATGGTTATATTGCTTGGATACAAATTAGTTGGTGGTATATATTTATTATCATTATACTTCAATATTGTTTCTAAATTTATTTATTTATTTTTAACACGAAAGCAAATGTTCAAAGCTAGTTAGCCACACATGTTCGAGTATCCGAAACTAAGACACGTAAAAATATATATATATATATATATATATATATATATATATTTATATTTATGAGATAAGTGAGTTTAGAAGGTAGATAAATTCTTTTGTTCACCTTTAGAAAGTTGAATTGAATACTTTTTTGATTTTATATCATTATATCAACTATTTGTTCGAAAATCTTAAACTTTATTATTTAAATTTCTTAACACATTATCTCATGCGCAACCTTTTTTTCATTTCGCAACCTTCTTTTCATTCCACACTCAGTTTCTATTTTAACTATCTTGTTAGATTTCAACTATTAACAACTATCTACACTAAAAAGTTAGCATTAGGAAGCTCCGCTAAATCCATCCTTAATATTTAAAATAGCTGGTGATTAACATAGTATTAGCAAAATTCTGAATTGCAATCGCTTCTGTCGCTTAATAAATTAAAATTAAAATATGTATTGCTTGTTAGAGGGTGTAAATATTAATTTACATCCATTCTAACATCTTAAAGTTCTCAAATTGAAACATATGTTTACACCAATACAAACACGACATGTCGCACATATAAATACGACTAATGAATAGTATCTTGAATTTTTTTTATTCCCTTCAATTATTTGTTTTAACAAAGATGGCATGCTTCTTTAACTGTGGGGAATTTTTTTTTGATTGAAGACATTTGATGCTGTCGTCGGTGATATAACAATTCTTGCTGATCGTTGGAGGAACGTGGAATTTACTACACCCTATACTGAGTCAGGTATGTGGCTGATAGTTCCAGCGAAGCCCAATGCTCCAAATGCATGGATGTTTTTGACCCCTTTCAACCTGGAATTGTGGATGGTTACCGGGGCCATTTTCCTCTACACAATGTCAATAGTTTGGTTCTTGGAACATCGATCCAATCCAGAATTTCGTGGTCCATGGAATGATCAACTTGGCAATGTGCTTTGGTTCACCTTCTCTTCAATTTTCTTCGCCCATAGTAAGTATATAGCTTAGTATATATGCATGTTTTGACCCAAAACATTTTATTGGAGATATATAGTATCAACATTTTTGTTTTTAAACTAGAATCACATGTTCAAGCATGTGATTATTTGTAAATGGTTTTAAGCATATATAGTTTTTGGAGAACCAATTTTCTTCTCTTACCGCATTTATAGCTTAGGTTTCAGGCATATATATATAGCTTGTTTGTTGGAGTTGTGATTCGATTAGCCAAAATAAAAATCTGGTTAAATTTTGCAGGGGAAAAGATTAAACACAACTATACTCGAGTGGTGGTGGTGGTGTGGCTTTTTGTGGTGTTGGTGGTAACTCAGAGCTACACTGCCAATCTCTCTTCAATGCTTACTGTGTCACGACTTGATCCCAATGTGGACTCCCTAAAGAAAAGCAATGCCATAGTTGGGTGCTATGGCAATAAAGTTATAAGAGACTACTTGGTGAATGTGCTTGATTTCAAAAAGGAGAACATCAGGAAATTTCGCACCCAATTGGAGTATCTGAAAGCTTTTAAGAGTGGCATTATCTCAGCGGCATTTCTTGAAGCCCCTTATGCAAAAGCTATCCTCAAGCACTACTGCGATCAATTTACTGTCACAGGACCAACTTATGAATTCGGAGGACTTGGCTTTGTGAGTACTATAATAGTATAATGCATATATGGTGGATTGAACAACTCCTCCTAATTCCTTGAAACTTGAACTCTTCTATAGAAGGAACACCATCGATCTTCATCAATAAATCACATTAAACTAGTATATATACATGTTATCTAGCTACTATATATTAATATAAGCAAACTGAGTATTAAAAAATTCCTCCTGGTCATGTGCTCTTAATGCAGGTCTTCCAGAAAGGCTCTCCTATAGCTACTAATGTTTCTGAAGCCATTCTAAGACTATTGGAAGACGGCACTCTGAAAAGATTGGAAGATGAGTACTTTGCTCCCTCCTCCGATTGTTCAAACTTCCAGACTACCAAAAGCAACGGTAGCTTGAGCCTCCAGAACTTTTGGGGTCTATACGTCTTCTACGTTGCCACTTCCACCATTTGTTACTACTCTTCATCATGCATTCGCTGAAGAATGAGTGATGCCACCATGAACTTCAACAAGGCAACATCACGTAAACTTTAATTAATTCGTGTTAAGCATTAATCACAAATAAATATGAATTTCAAATCTTAGAACTTCATGATTTTCACATATCTATAATGCATAAATAAATAGTTACATATAAATACCTCGATCTGTAATTGTAAAACTCGTAGAGATCAAGGTAAATATTGAGATCCTTTCTGCGGAACGAACAACATGCTAAACTGCAATAGCCAAAACGTAGAAACCGATTTCTCTCTGTTGGCTTTTTGCACACATAAATATTATACGTGTGTTGTTTTCATTAGCATACATAATTGATGGGATATATGTATTTTTATAAAAGCAGAGAGAGGACCAGTTTTCCTTTTTAGTAACCTTAATTCCACTTTACATCAAAGTAAAGAATAAATAGGAAAACACTTCAATAATTATTTACCAAAAAGGTAATTTAATAAATTGACCAAATAATATAATATTAATCTGATATCTATTTACTTAATCAATAATTAATGAAATATATCCCATGTCCAAATCATGTGGGTCACACAATTAATAAATAATCTTACATTCTCCCACTTGGCTTATATGATAACTTCTGTAGTGGTTTAGTAAAATAGTCATTAATGTGCACCATAAATCAGATTGAGTCCTTAAGTTGGTCATCATAAATACCATGGTAAATAAATTACCAATTCGAGTCATGACAGATATATATCACTAAATGACACCGTCCCTTCCATGTACCACAACACTAGTAACCTATTCAAGAAATTTTTTTGGCTAAGATCAAGTGTAGTTCTTAATTTTTTGGAGTCGGCTTTTTGGCTAACCTTTCTTGATCTTTTGGCTGAGATCAGGTGTAGTAGTATTTTCTAGGCCTTTTAGATTTCAGTATTTATTTACTAATATAAAAAATAGTTTTTATAAATAAAAAATTACCTAAAAATTATTTAAAGAGTTTAATTCAAGTTACACATTACCTAATAAAATTCATTTTTCTTATCTCACATTGGTTTTAAGTAAAAATGATTACATAGAAGTCTCTTATAAAATTATAAACTTAAAGAAATAATAATTACACTTTTCTTGGCCTTTTGGCTAAGATCAAGTATAGTACTAAATTTTTTTGGGTTGGCCTTTTAACTAACATTTCTTGGTCTTATTTATTAATATAAAAAAAGAGTTTTTATAAACAAAAAATTACCTAATAATTATTTAAAGAGTTTAATTCAAATTACAAATTACCTAATAAAATTCATTTTTCTTGTCTCACATTGGTATTAAGTAAAAAGAATTACATGGAAGCCTCTTATAAAACTATAGACCTAAAGAAATAAAAATCACGCCTTTCTCTTTTTTTGCTAAGATCAATTGTAGTACTAAATTTTATACTGTCATCAATGCAACACAACAGACACAAAATACTTTTAAAAGTATTATTATGTCTTAAAATCTTATTATTGTATTTATTTCAATGGTTTAATAATATTACAAATACATAATTCCTTATCTTTACTCATGTGCAGATTCATGATGATACTTAAAGTGCGAAGTATGGAACATATTGGAACACTTGCAACCCTAACAGTGTTCAATGATTACAAAACATTAATAAATTGTTCACTAGATAAAAATATAAATAATTATATATATAAACAATAAACAAATAAAAAATATATAAAAATATAAATTATATAAGTTAGAAAGCATTCATCACATGCAGCGCACGTGCCTTTTACTAGTATATATATAAACGGTTGTCAAATGAAAGCAAACTTTAATCTCATTTTCAATCCCTTGCCAAGTTAGAAACTCAAGTTGGTTAACTAGCTCAAGCCTTTAAAAATAAAAAAATAAAAAATAAAAAACTAGTATAGCGATTTCTTTTGTATAATTGTATAAATGGTTCTTATTTCATTTATAAATGATCACTTTCTATAATTATTGCTGAAATTTAATCCATGGATCGAACTCTTGGTCTTATGTTATCTCCATTTAAATAATCTTGCGTGCATTAAATGTGCACCATCACCGCTACCTGAGCAGAGGCATGGTTTGCCTTGGCCACCTACTGCTACTAGTGTCCCATCTATCAGTAGGTTAAGTAAGAGGACCGTCAGTTAAGGGAGAAATCGGCTCTCACATAGTTGTCCAAATAAGGGATAGTATAAATAGGAGTAATAAATATTGGGATTTGGTGGCAATATCGTTCTTGATGTTTTCTTTTTGAAATGAAGTACTTTCACCAAGTAGTCTTTTATAATGCTATTGCCATAGCAGCCAACTACGGCATTGTCCTTAATGAATAAGTCGACATTTGGATCAAGTATTGAGATAGTAATGTAAGCATTGAAGAGAAATTGGCAGTGTAGCTTTGTGTTACCATCTACACCACAAAAAGCCATACCACCACCACCACTCGAGTATAGTTGTGTCGAATTCCTTCCCTTGCAAAATTTATTCATTTTAATCCCTATATCAAAATTTGTAACATATATGAAGACTATGAATACTATATCAAAACAATTTATAAATAATTAGATGGTTGAATACACTAATATATGTGTTCGGGTAGCCAAAAAAAGTTTACTGGTGTCTTATCAAAGTAGAAAGTGAAGGGTTTAAGTTTTCATATGAGTAAAAGTAGATACAGATATGTTTCTTGCCTTAAAAAATAATAAAATAAAATAAAATAAAATAAATTATTTACAGCAGCAAGCAAACAAGGATGAACAAAAGCTAACTTCCGAAAAAAAAAAAATAAAAAAATAAAAAAAAAAAAAATTAAAGAAAAGAAGAAGAAGAAGAAGCTAGAAAGGCTGGAAAAAGAGGAATGAACACCTCAGAGCATCTCTAATGCTAAAAGCTATTTTCAGCTGTCAAATATATGTTTTGACAGGTGCTACAGTGTCAAAATGTTACATTTTAGCAATTCTGCTCCAATGGTGCATTTCATGCAAAATGCTATTTTTTGACATAACCACTATTCTTTTTTAACCATTCCCACTATTCATATTTGTATCAGTAATATTAATATTAGGCACATTCCAAGTCAAGTTGTAGACATCATAAGCAAACTAAAATTAAATCTAATTAAAAAGAAACAAATATCTAAAATATCTGATCAAAAAAAGACCAATATATATATATATATATGTGTGTGTGTGTGTGTGTGTGTGTGTGTGTGTGGAAATTTATATATTTGATTATATTATTATATAAAAAAAAATTTATATAAATTTTTTTGTCTTTTTCAGAAATTCATATATATATATATATATATATATATATATATATATATATGTATATTATATATATTTGAGTAAATTATTATTAAAAATATATATTTTTTTTAGGGCAAATCATTTCAGCCTCCCCAATGGTCTCCATCTCTATTCTCGTTCTCAACTCTGAACTCCCCCTCTCTCTCTCTATCTCTCTCTCTCTCTCTCTCTCCAACTGCAAACTAGAAAATCTACAAGAATCAGAAGTTGAAAGCCTATATATTTCAGTTTATCTATCTGTCTGCAAGAATCAAAAGATTAAAACCCATATCGGCATATCATTTCAAATTGTTCAAAAACCCATATCTTTCAGTTTACATCGCCTGCTATTCCAGTTCGGGTTCTCCGTTCGCAAGCTTTAGTCGCTCTCTCAACTCTCAAGCTTGGCCTCTCTCTCTCTGCAACTGCTAAATTGTATGTATGGGTTTTGTTTTAATTTTTTTTCCTAAATTAACTAATCAAGGTCTATAATTCTTGTTTTGCAAAATATATATTATTTGGTGAAATTTTTTATGATCTTTTTAATATATATATATATATATATATATATATATATAGACAAATTTGGGTTGAAATTATATGTATGTGTGTGTATGTGTGTGTGGGTTGAAATTGTATGTGTGTGTGTGTGTGTGTGGGTTGAAATTGTATGTGTGTGTGTGTGTGTGTGTGTGTATGGGGTTGGTGTTAGAGAACTGCCAAAAAAAATTTTGCAGCTCTTATATTTGAGATAAATTTTTAGATTTTTAAATTTTAAGAGACCAAATGAAAGACCATTGGAGTATTTTTTTTTTATCCATCTCTCAAATTATGAGTATGAGAGCTCAAAATAAAAGAGAATTGGAGATGCTCTCATACTACCTGATAAGCTGACTGAACTTTTAATAAATAGATTTACATTAATTCTAAATGCCTTTAAACTCTACTTATATCTCCAATGGGCATGTAGAAAGAAAAAACAAGAAAAAAAAAAAAAAAAAAAAAAATGAATATTTTTCTGCTCTAATACTTCTATTTCTGTTACTACTTTTTATAAACTACTTCCAATATTTATTATATATGTAAAAGTATTTACGGTCTTGAGTTTGGGCCATTTTATCAAGGAGGCCCAACAAGCAAGTAGGGCATAGAAAATTAACAAAAGTTCAAGTCCAAAGTTTTTTTTTTTGGGTAAATAGTTGAAGCCCAAAGTATTGCAGGCAAATCCAACCTGATAAAAGGCCCAAGCGGCTTGTGTAATAAAGTAGCGGTTGTCTCTGTTAATTTGGACACTCCATACCAAATGTAAGATGAACGTGTGTGGCTACATGATTGGATTGAGGGTTGATTTTTTGGTGCAATATGTCATAATTGCATTGACAATGAGACGACAGCTGACACTGTGAAATTGATTTATTGATTGGAGCAGGGTTTAATCAGAGCATCAAAAAGTCCATACTCTCACTATTATTTCATTTGAAATTTATGGAATGAAATAAATACTTTATCAACGGATTGCCATTGAAAGCTTGTCAAGCCCGGGCTATCTTAATTTGACTCGTTTACAACCACTCATTTTAGTGTATTTTTTCTTTTCTTTCTGGTGGGGTATGGCCTAGATAGATTTTTTTTCTTTTAAGCCTTAGACTGTTCATTTGTATTTTTTTTCTGTCTTAGTTAAATAAAACACGTTCAGGAGGATTTTTTTTTTAATAAGGTGAAAAAGAGAGGGAGTGTTTAAAGGGTAATGCTATAGTTATTTTCTAGCTTGAGATATCTTAAAGTGGATTCTACTTTAATGCATTTAAAAATTGCAAGTAATTGGATTTAAGATCATTTCGACCTAATATTGACTTTAAAAATTATCTTTCAAAATAAAAAAGGGAAGACACTACTGTACATTAATCAGGTTATAATTAAACTTCTATGCTCCATAAGATTTTGGTCCCTTAATTGTTTGGCCATGCCAATGCGAAAGCAACTTGGAGGTGCCACTCTTTAACTCCACGCACAAGTATTTTTTATCAATGATAATGATTGGTTTTGGCTAGATTGGTCTCTTTTTTCACATTTGAACCCACTTTTAAGTCCCCTCAAGTGCGTGCATGTGCTTTTTTCTGCATTAGCCTTACAAAGTATTTATTTGATTCCATAAATTCCAAATGAAATAATCGCGAGGGTATGGACTTTTAGATGCTCTGATTAAACCCTGCTCCAATCAAAAAATCAATTCCACAGTGTCAACTGTCGTCCTCATTGTCAATGCAATTATGACATACTGCACCCAAAAATCAACCCTCAATCCAATCATGTAGCTACACACGTTCATCTTGCATTTGGTATGGAGTGTCCAAATCAACAGAGACAACCGCTACTTTATTACACAAGCCGCTTGGGCCTTTTATCGGGTTGGATTTGCCTGCAATACTTTGGGCTTCAACTATTATTAGGGCCAATTTGCACCAAAGCAAACATTTTTTTTTTTTTTTTTGGGGGGAGGGGGTGGTTTGTTCGCAGATCGTAATCGTGTTGCGGGTCGTAAGTTAACTTAAGAGTATTATATTAAATAATTCAATCCGAATACGACATGTTTAATAATCGTGTCAAGAACTCTTAACACTAACCCGACCTGTTTATTAAACAGGTTACACATGTAACCCGTTTAATGATATATTTATAAAAATAAATAAATTATATTATTTAAATTATTAATAATACTCAATAAAATACTAAATACTAAAAAAAAATATAAGTTTTAATTAACCAATTTACTAGATAGTTTCTAATTTTAAAAAGATTAAATTAAAAGACACAAGTTTATATAATAACTTTAGAACTTAAAAAGAAATTTATTTACGACATATATAGTTAAACTTGTATAAATGGGGCTATACGGGTTAAATCCCTCAACCTAAACATGACACGATTAGCTAAACGGATTAATCGTGTCGACCCGTTTATGACCCGAACCCGTTTAAGGCAAACCAATCCGTTTAACTCGTGTCTTGTTCGAATCGTGTTGGCGGGTCGTGTCAACTTTTGCCACCCCTATGTGCACCAAACAAAACAATTGGAGTTTTTTTGCACCATTTAATGTAACGACCCTAAATTGATATCATTTATAAATAAAATAAAAAAAATTCGACATGACATCTGCTAAACAGGAGCCTACAACAACCTGCTTAATTAAAAAAAAAAAATGCAATGACCTTTCTTGGCCTTTCAAGACATATCCAACCTATCTCAACACACTATACAAAAAATATATATACATATATATATATGATACATTCCCCAAAACCACAGCATCAACAACCTCCCCAAGTTAGCCCATAATCGTCATCCCATTCAACTTAAGCATTTATATAATCTCGTTTCCTTTCAAAATACCAACAAAAGTTATAATTTATAATACATGACATTGGCTTGCAAAAATGAATACACGACATTCTAGTTTTGAGACTATGCAAAAAAAAAAAAAAAAAAAAAAAAAAAAAAAAAAAAAAAAAAAAAAAGGGCTAAGATACAAAAGATAACGAAATACAACTCCTAATCTTCTTCAAGCTTACGGGAGATTGTCATCCGCCACTTCTTTTCCGAGCCCTGAAAATTGTTAAATAATAGGGTGAGCGTAAAGATCAATAGGTAGTGCCTAAGACGCACCTCTTATGACCACGTGAACCCAAATAATGAATAGGACAATAGGAAGAGGGGTCATGCTAAACCGGGGAAAATACAATTTAAATTTGCAAGTTCAAAACAAATGAATGTCGTGCCATGAATGCAATGTCATGCATGTTACTCCCAATTTTCAGAAAACTTCCATCACTTTACAAACTGTTAATATAACTCGCCTTTTGGTGACTCCGCAGCGACACGAGGGAAGGATTGGCTACTGTCCCTGACCTTTGCTACCTCCGCAGCGTTATTTGGGGCCCAGATAGCTCAACCATGTTAGGACAATCTCCCTAATTCTCTCTAGGCTATATTAACACACCGACCCTTTGCTGACTCCGCAGCGACCGGGTTTTCTTAAAACCGTTTCATCAAATTCTCCCCAAAAATTCCCTTTTTCATTCTTATCAAATCATTGTACCATTTTTCATGCCCATGCTATGAATGCATATCACATATCTTTTTAATATTATGGAAATTGAGTGAATTATTATCACACAATTAGCATACTTCCACATAAAATTTTCAATAAATTATTAAGCATCATAGGCATGGAAAAATTAACATATTAAGCATACTTTACAATAATTCTAAGAAAATTTCCATAAGCTTCCATGTATCATTTTTTTTTACCAATTTTGTTAACATAATAACATAAAGAAATTAATAATGAAGTATACTTTTTATACAAATCAACAATTACACATATAGTCGTGAACTTCACACCCACAAGAAAATGATTCTAAAGGTAATTAATTTCAATTAAGCATGTTGGTATCAAATAACAATAATTGACTCACAAATGAACAAGAAAATGCAAATTAGAGACCCCTACCTCTAAATGGATAAAAAGCCCCAATTTTCACCTCAAACCCTATGATTAAAGATCTCCCAAATGGTGGCCAAAATGAAAATTGGCTCCAATCAACTCGTAGATTTCGTCGTGGGCTTCAATTTGCTGCAAACGGCTTCCAAAAATATCAAGTGGTGAAGGAGAAATCTAGGATTGAAGTTTGATAGAAAAAAGAAAAAGAAAAATGGAGGCTAGCGAGAGAAAGAGAGCTACCAGTGGGATAAGAGAAAAAAATGAGAAATAGGGCTAAATGCCTCTTTGACCATTCTTAAGACATGATGTGGATCCCACCTTCTTTTTATTTTATTTTCCTTTATCTTTCCTTTTATTAATTTACACCATATACATCCATATATATACACAAATAATTACACACACACACACACACACACACACACACATATATATATATATATATATATATATATATATAAATAAATAAAACACAGACATTACATTTAAATCTAAGAGGGGTGTTTTTTGCACTTAGGCTTAAAATAAATAATATGAATTATTTGTAATTCTTTCATATAAAAATTTAGGGTAAAGTACATCAGCACCCCCTGAGGTTTAGCAAAAGGATACATAGGTAAAATTTACTTGTTTTTTGGACAAAGGCATCCCTTGAAGGTTAAAAAATGGACAAAGGCACCCCTGACATGAGAAATTAACCAAATTATCCTTTGACCGTTTATGAGACTTTTTTAACTTTACAATTTAATATGTTAGACCAATCTACCCTCATGAACAATTTATGCATTAAAAAAAAAAAAAAAAAAAAAAAAAAACAGTCTATTCTCTCTCAATACCTAATACCTTCTCTCTCTTAATGGACCAGATAGCAGCCACCGCCCTCTTCCTTTTTCTCTCTCTCTGTATAAGGCAACACCCCAGCGAGACCCATAAGCATCCGCGACAGTGACAGCGACAACGACAGCCACCGCTGCCGCCACCTATCTTCCCCTCCACCGTTCCACCGCCACCACACAAAGCCACACATATATATCTATATATATATACACATAAAAATACAGAGGGGTTCAAATTACACACATATACCCACAAATTTTTCTATAGCAAAACCCAATAACTCAAATTCCAAACAATATGAAATTGGGTCTTTAGATTAGGTGCTCAATTGGCCATCGCCTCTGCCGTCTGATTTGAGTCTTTAAATTGGGTCTTTTGATTAGGTCACCTGCAAGGCTGAAGTGGCCATCGCCTCTATCATCCAATTTGAGTCCGATTAGAGCCCTTTTCGTGCGCAAATGAGGATGGTGATGTGCGTAGTCGTCGTTGGAGGATGGAGTGGCACCACTCCAAGAAAGCGATATGGGTAGGTATGGTGGCGGCGGAGGAAGCTGAGGTATGGTGGCGGCGGAGGAAGCTGAGGTATGGTGGCCGCGCCGGCCGATGACCCCTGCACCTGCCCCGCCGGTGTTGGTGGTGGTGTTGTAATGTGTATTATATTTATATATATATATGCACATGTATATTTATATATATGTTAACAGTCTTAGCAGATAGAGAGAGGCATATGAATAAGGAAGAAGAGAAAAAATGAATTAAGGTTATTGCGTCATTTTGTAAGTTCTGATATTTTGTAATATATTTGAATTTAATGTTAAGGTGTAATTTTGTCTTTTCATATAATTTAAGGCCTTGATTGGATGGAAATTTTAGAAAGGGGGTGTCATTGTCCAAAAATGGGGTAAGTTTTACCTGGGTGTCCTTCCGACAAACCTCAAGGGGTGTTAGTATACTTTACCCTTTAACCTTTATACACTTACCCTCCACTTAAATTTTTGGGTTAATTATAATGACACCCCCTAAGGTTTACCCTATTGACAACCATATACAAGTTAGTCTACTTTTGAACAATGACACTCCCTCAGCTTTGATGCCTTGACAAAGACACCCATTAAGAGCCTGTCATGTGGTAAAATGCCCAAGTGCCTTTTAAGTTGTAAAATGACACTTTTGAATAGCGAAATTACCAAGTTACCCATTCTAATAAATTTGAAATGTCCAAAATAACCTCTCTCACATCTCTATATACAAATATTGTCAATATATACATAACCTCATATATATATATATATATATATATATATATATATATATATATATATATGTATATACATATGCGTTCCATAGATATAACGTATCAATAAGGTCGCCGGAGCCCTGGGTTGTGCACGTTCCATGGTTCTCTAACATACCAGTGGGGTGGTCACCGAAGCTCTACGCTAGAATTGATGAAGCCCTAGGTCTATTGGAGAAAGATGAAACAACAGTACGTGCTGGAAAATCACCCAAATCGTGCCAAGCTTTTTGTCAATAACATACCAAAACAAAATTTCTTTTATCAGTAATATGTATATGTGTATATACCTCGCTTTACGATCTGTGTCTCTGCCAGTATCAAATGTATATATATATATATATATATATATATATATATATATATATATTAACTTACATATACCGATTTGTGGCCAGAAGATATACCGATTTGTGGCCAAAAGACAGTGCCGTTCGAAACGACATCGTCGCCGGCTAACAATCCTCTGACTTCTTCGATCTTTTAGCTTCCTGGAGTAGATTCAAATGAGGTTTCAGATCACGCAAAAAAATCAAATCAATTTATGAATCCGATTCACTTTATTCAGGTGATGCCACCACCACCTCCGTCGCAATCTCCGACCATGGTCTGATGATGCAAATGGATCTAAATTGATCTGTTGGTTGCTCCTCTATTTGTTTTCTTCGAATTTGGGTCAGCGAAGGTTTCCCGGTGAGAATTATGGTGGTTTTACAAAAATAGGGTCCATGGTGATAGCAGGTGATGGGTGTAGGGTGGTGGTTATGTGGTGGAGGTTGTGGTGGTGAGTGGAGAGAGGGGGAAAGTAGGGGTAGACAGCGGTGAAAGTGGGTGGGTGGTGACGATTCAGGGCGATGGTAGGGGAGGTTGTCTCTTTTCTTATGGGGAAAGTTGTCTTGCTTGTGGGTGATAGAGAGGATGATGGTGGTGGCGATTGTGGGTGATAGTGGTGGTGATTGTGGGTGAGCCGAACTTGATGCAAAAGATAAAGAGAAATTAAACATTGAATGGATTAGGGGAGATTGGTAGAAGGACAAAAGTGTAATATTAAAATTCTGATGTTTTATAATTAAAATTAGTTAAATATTGATGGGCAATTTTGTCTTTTCAAACCTTTTAAGGCTCTGTTTGGATCAAACTTTTGTCAGGGAGTGTCATCGTCCAAAAAACGTCTAACTTGTATATAGGTGTCATTAGGCCAAACCTCAGGAGGGGTTGTTGTAATTAACCCTAAAATATACATCTAAATTGAGAAATGTAAAGTCAACTAAGAATTTGGATCAAATTTAAGTTGTATAATTAGATTTTGGGTTCAGAATGTCGGACTCACAAACGAATCGAAAGTCAACTCAAATAAAAAAACTGAATTGCAAATTTTGGATGGCATATATATTTATGCTAATTTTAAAGGATATTGTTCTAAATCTGATAAAAAAAGATCAAATTAGGAAAAGCAGTTGGGTTAGGTAGAACGCGGCTTGTGATATGCTAGTATAAAAATGTTGGCTTGAGACCAAAATGTAAGACAAGTTCCATCAAATGCTTGAACTAATGGAGTGTGTTAATTAATCTTTTTTCGGATGACTTTGACTGGACCTTACTCGTTTATAACGCTACTATTAATCTTTTACTATTATTTAGTTATTTATTAATTGTACCTTGCTACTATTCATTTCACCAACTACATTGTCGTTTGTGTTGAATGTAGATTAGGGGGGAAAAAAAGAGAGGAAATTACAGGTCTTGATTCTTTGTGCAATACAATTTAGAAACAATTATCATAGTTCTGGAAATAGATGTTAAAATTTATGGAGGTTGACTCAAATGTCTGTAAAATGTTAGGGTCTACCATGATGCAAAGATAAATAGTAGCAAGATTAGGGTTTTCATTTTTCTTATTTTAGTTCCAATTGGGATTAGTCAAATTTATCAAAATCTTGTTCCATGAGCATTGATGAGAGACAATGGTAGGCCAAATTGTAAAGAGAACTACATGAATTAATTTCTAACCCTAATCGAAAACTAAAATTGTGGCTGCCAGCCCTATAAGCAGACACAGTATTCGAGATATAGATCACAAAAAAAGGGTTCCTGATAGAATAGTACTTGTTGGATACACAAACAGATATAGTTAGAAATATTTTGAAATTTAAACATGTTATTTTTCTAGTTGGACAAGATTGAGATAAGGCATGGGCACAATAGGGAAACATTTTGGACATTTCGAGGATATAATGAGTGATTTTGTAATTGTTTTTTTATTTATAAAAAAATGGGAATCAATCTAATTTAAAATGCTCATCTGGGAATGAATCATGTAATGGAAGAGTGTTTTCTGGCCCAAGATATACATACTTCAAATGAGAGAGCAACGGATTTAGCTCTAGCTCTGGTGGAGAGTCCAAACATGACGTAGGAAGTTCACTTGACAATGGCGAGAGGGGCTTAACAGGGATGTTCCATAGTGGAATGTTGCACGATTGAATCTTTAACACCATTCAGCAAGCTTTTGTCTTCTTTACTCGAGAGCGTGTCATCTAATAAAATGTTAGGTCTTTATAAGTATGACACTTAACAGATGGGAATATGATCGGTTGTCAAATGAAAGCAAACTTTAATCTTTTTCTCTATCCCTTGTCAAGTTAAAAACTCAAGTTGGTCAAGTAGCTCAAGTCTTGAATAGAAGAGAGGATATATATTTTATACAAAATGATATTTTAGTATGTTGAAGATGCATTTATAATAATAATTCCTGAGATGAAAAGTATATATATATATATATACTTTTCATCTCAGGAATTATTTTTCTTTTGTTTTTTTTGTTTGTTGTTTCTCTTTCATTTGTTTTCTTCTGTGTCGAGAAATTGTAAGGTTGAGAGGAAATATCCTAGAAATTTATATATATTAAATTTCAAGAGTTGTGGGGTCCACATACATTAAATTTCTAAAATATTTTCCTCAATAGCGTGCGCGCGTGCACGCACACATAGTTCCTTACCACCACTGCTTGTCACCTTGTATTTTACTCCTTTCGTTTTATAAAAATTGTCATTTTTAAGAAATCATGACTCTCACAAATTGAACTGTCCCGATTTTCAAAATACTACATTTTTTTTTTTTTTGAGACGGAAGTAATAACATTTAGTAATCTACGATAATTTGCTACACACAGTACATTGCATTATATGCCTTTACTGTAGATGTCAGAAATTGTAACCCCACAACTTTTACAACAATAGCTTACTTGATTTTCTAATGAACAAATCATTTTCATCCTTGGCTTTCTAGAAGCAATCGGCTTTGACTTTTCTCTATAAACTCACGGAGCCATGTAAGGTTGAGAGGAAATATCCTAGAAATTTCTATATATTTACTATTGTTTAAGAGAAATGTCTCAGAAATTTCAAGCCAGAAAAATGGTGGAATTGTTTCAAATAATCTCATACAAGTCGTCACTCTCCGAGTCTCTGAAGATCGATGGTGGAACTGTTTCTAAATCAAAACATATATATGGCTTTGTGTTTCCAACGGAGAACAGCTTGGGTACCTGTTTCTTTATTATTCCAAGCTTCATTCATTCTCTCTCTCATTCTCTCCCGAACGTCCATACCAGAAGCTAAAAACATAGCAGCAACCGTGAGTGCTATCATAGATGTTAAAGCTGAAGGATGCGCAATACATACTGTTGAAAAACCAGTGATAATCGGAGTTCCACACAACACCTTTTCTGAGCAGTTTGTAAATATACACCGGTCCATCAAGAACCCTAATGAGAAGATATACGGTGGTTTTTGTATTGATGTATTTAAGGAGGCGATGAAGGATTCGACCACAAATTACTCGTTTGTGGAGGTCAATGGCACCAACGATGATTTAGTTAATAGTGTCGCTGACGGGGTAATACACCTATCACCGTCCTGTTTTTCAATTATTTCATTATAGTGTAATGATTTATTACCCCTATCACCGCCCTCATGTTTTTTAATTATTTCATTATAGTGTAATGATTATGATCAAATAACTTTTTTTCCATGAGTACAAACAGATGTGATCACTAGATTAGCCTACAATTCGACCATATAATTTTTCCTTCATTTATTATGCGGATCTAAATTGTTAATGGTTTTTTTTTTCATTTTTTTTTAAAAGAAAATTTTACATCTCTATATTTCTTAATTACTGAATTGAGACAGGTCTTTTTTTACTTTCATAAATCTTAAAATTATTCTCAAGGAGGGACTGACCTCATCATAATTATTTCCTTGATGATATGTCAAGCCACACATAATTATCCATGCTCAAAACTGATTTTCTTATAGTTATATGAGGCTTTATATATTTATATAATTCTTTTAAAAAAATTACTAACAAGTCTTATTTTTCTTCACCGACATAAATATTAAATAAGTCTTACTTTAGAAATTTCTATATAAATCATAAATAATCAATTTCTACTTATAAAACCAAAAAATTCAGTAAGATTTCGCAAATATAATTTATATTCAAAAACTTATATCCAATCCAAAATTTTTATCTAGCGAGCTATGAAAAAAAGTTGGTCCTCACTCACGAGGAGGCGATTATTGTTCTATGAGTTATGAATATTGTTTACTGTTTATTTTTCTTCATTCAATTGTTTATTTCTAACAAATACTGGCATGTTTATTACCTGTGGAAAAAAATGGATGGAAGACTTTGGATGGTGCCATTGGTGATATAATGGCATTTGCTTACCGTTCGAAGGACGTAAAATTTACTCAGCCATTTACTTCGTTAGGTATGACCATGGTGGTTCCAATGAATCTCCAAGCTCCCAATGGATTGATATTTTTGACCCCATTAACCAAGGAAGTGTGGTTAGCCAATTTGGTGATTTTGATGTACACCATGTTTATAGTTTGGGTCATGGAGCACCGCACCAATCCCCAATTTCCTAGGGATCAACTCGGCAATATTCTTTGGTTCACCTTTTGTTCGCTATTCTTTTCCCAAGGTACGTATTGCTTGGAGAAGTGCACAAAACAATTTATTGAAGATGTTATCACTATGTGTAAGTATGCGAATTTTTAAAATTACAGGGGAAAGGAGTAACCGCAACTATACTCGAGTGGTGGTGGTGGTGTGGTTTTGTGTGGTTTTCTTCATGGTACAAGGCTACGCTGCCGGTCTCTCTTCTATTCTCAGTGTGCCACCACTCCCCAATGTTGACTCACTCAAGGAGAGCAATGCCATAATTGGATGTTTTAGCAATGACATTATAAGGAAGTACTTGATGAATGTACTTCATTTCAAAAAAGAGAACATCAGGGACGACATTATTGCCACCCAATCTGCGTACGTGGACGCTCTCAAGAGTGGCAGAATCTCAGCGGCATTTCTTCAAGCCCCTTATGCAAAAGCTATTGTCCAACAATGCGGGGACCGACTTATGATCACAGGACCAACTTATGAATTAGTAGGATTTGGCTTTGTGAGTGGTGGATTGAACTAATTAACTTCAACGTTAATTTTGTGAAAGCTAGGTTAATAGTAAATAAACAAATGTGTTTGTTTACCATTCATTAAGCAAATTCAGTGACTATTATTAAATCTCCCTCATTTTTTAATTGCAGGTGTTCCAAAACGTTTCTCCCATAGCTGCCAATGTTTCTGTAGCCATTCTAAGACTATTGGAAGATGGCTTTATTAACAAACTCGAAGATAACTACTTCCGTACTTCTTTGGATTGTTCAGACTTCCAAACTACCAGAAACAACGGTAGCTTGAGCCTCCAGAAGTTTTGGGTGCTATACCTCTTCTACGCTGTCATATCCACCATTTGTTTACTACTATTCATCAAGAATGAAGTTCAAGAAGGCAACATCACACTCACTTGGGCAAGTGTTCGGAACAAGATACGTCGACTCAAGCACCTCTTGACCAATGCAGTTTCAAGGGCAAGGGCAAGTGTTTGGAACAAGATACTTGGACTCATCCATTTCTTGAAAAATGCAGTTTCAAGAGATACCGCGGCCAGGGCTCCAAGGTCAGATCACGTGCCAAATGATACTGAAATGGTTCAAACACTTGGTTATGTTGTTTAGCTACCTATATAAAAATAAGAACAACTGGTTAATTTTCTGTTCATAATATATGCATGCCAATACTTCAAAATCCCTCTAAACTATATTGTTGTCATCATTTTCTAGTATAAATAAATATGTGTACTCTAGATACAAAGTTTACCAATAGCCTACTTCATTTTTTGTACCCTGGCCTCCAGATTTCTATAATAATCATGAATAATTTGATTGATGAGTACTGTTAAAGGTATAAATATATCAAGTCTCATATGTAAAAAAATGATGCATGCATCCCCATCCAATGTGTCCTCCTTTTTCTTTTTCTTTTTTTTTTTTTTTTTCGGTTAGAGCACACAATGTGTCCTTTGATTATCAAATAAACTGCATTTTCCCTGTGTTTAGAATCACAGTACATTGTTTGTTCAAACAAAATACGAAGTAAATGCAAGTCAGGAGTGTTCATAGATAATTAATATTTCTCAAGTTCAATTGTATGTCCAGTGGTATATATTACATGATCATATTTTGTATATATAAGCTGTCAACATGCATTTATTGTGACTTCAAATAAATTATGGTTGATCCCACCTCGCATGAGCTAAATGAGAAAATAAATAGGATTACTAAAAGAGGTAATAAGAAGCATGAGCTTTGGTTTCTTCTTTACTAGCCAATTGAATATTGAATGAAGACCTTGGACCCCATAATTAGCTTATATATGCCAAGTTTATATCTGAGGGATCAAGAAAAATGGAATTAACTCTGCCATTTCCGAATTAAACTCTAAAAGCTCTATGTGGAGCCTTAATTTCACCCCATAAATGTGGGTAGTCTTGTCATTTGAATATTGATCCACTCAGTGGGCGGAGCCAAGATTCAATGTAAGGGGGGGCCGGAGTGTGCAACATTGTGGAACAAAGACATAGCTCGCATTTATCGAGTAAAAATGCCATATCCTCATTAACTTCACTAATCAAAACCAACAAGAACAACAAATTATTCCTAAAATTTTTTTGGAAGATTGTAAAAAAACATGGTATTTACACCATGTTGGTTTTTATTTAATAAATAATGACTTCAAAAGATTTTGAGTTTTATCTGTGTTTATAACTAATACTGGTATATGACATGGTGTAAGTATATAACTATATATTGCATCAGTTCTAACTTATGAGGGTTAAACATATGATATGCATAATTGATATATAAACAAAAACAGCCTGAAGCACTTTCCGAAAAAAAAAAAAAAAGCCTGAAGCAAGGCCTGAAACAGGGTAGCGTGCATTCATGAATAATGTAAACTTCAAGTCCTTTAACATAAAAAGCTCTTTCTAATTTGTGCATCAAAGACATGGAATGGAATCAAGATATATATATATATATATATATATATATATATATATATATATATTAAATAGTTCCAGGCAAGAATTTGTTGTTGACAAAAAGACCATACTTCTCTGTTCATATAAAAGAGATCATCATGTTTTTGATTTGTAGTTCAATTCCCCTCAAATGTATAACTCTCTCTCACTGGAAAACCACAGCAAAAAATAAAAATCAGACCAGACATAGCTCACATTTAAAGCTCAGATGTTGAATTTCAGAATAAAAATTGGAAAAGAATTCCATCAGAAGGAGAAATAAAGCAAAATTTCAAATAATCAACTTCATTCATCATGAAGAAATATAGCAACAATGGCAAATCGCAAGGCAAATAGCAAGAACAAAAAACAGAGAGAATGGCAAATCGCAAAAAAAAAAAAAAAAAAAAAAGGACCTTTTCGATAGTCTTCCAGAGTCCCAGACCATGTCCTAGATTGCAATTTGCATCCTCAGCAAAGTGGTGGTCCAACAGATTGTCAGTTTGTGTGAAGCCTGAAGGTGGAGGAGAATAGAGATTCGGGAGAAGGCGAAGAACAGAGGGTTAGGGCAAGAGGGAAGGGCGGAGGGAAATTTTGGTTGCGCGCTGTGCCCTAATTTGAGGGCTGATTCAGCTGAATGTTTTGGGGGGGTGGGGGGGGATAAAAAAAAATTTTTTTTTTTGGGGGGGGGGGGGGGGAGGCCCCTGCTGGCTCACCCCTCCCTCCGCCCCTGGATCCACTCAATTTCCACAGTATGGTTATTGGAGCTAGAATTATTTTATTTTTTTTGAAAAATGACAAAAAAAACTCCTTAACTAGTAACCCATTTGCAGTAAACTCATGGGAGTAATATATTATATTCGTTTCAATAAGTAACAAACTGTTTTTTGGGATAAAAATATCCCTTATCTCTGTATGGTTATGAGTAATCACCGAACTTGAAACTACAATCATAATAAGGACTATTTAATAATTTATTACATATATGTCATTCTTATAATAAATCATTCAAACATCTTCTCCAAGGGTCCAACCCTAGTTAATAGCCAATCTCAACACTTTACCTGTAGGTGGCAGGTAATGGTTTTGTATTCAATGCCATCATCATTCAAGCAATGCTGGCCAATTTTAAATCCTTCTTACTACTTCATAATAAGTAATTTAGAGAAAACCCTTCTTCATCAAACAACTTGAAGTAACAAAACATTCAGACGTCCCACATATCAATATACCAGAGCATCAATTCATAAGAAAAACAAGAAATTAACTCCAAGTATCACATGTAGGGGGGCAGTACATTGTCCGTCTTCTAAGGTTTGCGAGATAGAGGAAAAGTGCGAAAACATGAATGAGGGAGGTCACTTTTCCAAGTAAAAAATGATATTTTTTATTATTAGTTCACACCTTAGTGATATAGATTCTCACTAGTAACTAAATATTGTTCTTTTAAAATTTTCCTCCAAAAGTTACTTATTAGCATTTAACTATGAATCTTAACAATTCATAATTAAATATAAAAAAATTGAACGAGAAATCTATAAAATGATTGTTAAGTGTATTATTCTTGAATAATTAGGGAAATGAAAAATTGGAAATTGAACGCTTAGTTAATAAAAAAAGTCTTTATAATAATTCTTTTTTGGGCAAATTGTTCAAAAAAAAAAAAAAAAACCGACTTTCACCCATTAATAAATAACCCTTTTAATAAATTTTTTAACAAAAATAAAAAACACTTAACTATCACGAGGATTGAGGAGATATTTTAACTAACCTCCTATTGAGTTTTTTTCTGAGGCAAAATTTCAGACGAAATTACCTTAATGTTACACGCGCTCACTCATGTCGGATTCTGCTCATAGCCATAGCCTTTTCTGTTCACAAATCATGGTCGCCAAATGGGAACCACCAAGATCCAATCAATATGGATCAGCAAGCATCAGCTCCAGCCCAGATTTGGGCAGCACCATACCATCGGAAACTCCCTCACAGGTCACAATTTGGTCACTCACCGCCAATTGGTCACCACCACCATCAACGCGCTCTCACGCGCCTGGTCCGCGGAAACGACCCTCGCGACCACCAAAATGGTTATGACCACCATCATAAGCGGTACGGAAAACTCATAAAATGGGTCTCTTCTCTCTGTCCAGAGGACGCCGTCGGCACACTGGACAAAGACACGAGCAAATTCAGGTAGCTTAAGATCCAATTGTTGTGCTGGGTCGTCTTGCTAGAGTGCCGTTGGAGCTTGTTGTCGTCACCGGAACTGACGTACACCAGCGTAGAGCTCTCCGGATTTGTCACCGAACTCTGTCTTTGCTATTTTTATCGCTGCAATTAGCCTGTCTTTGTTGGGTTTGTGTGTGTGTGAAATTGACTGTAAAAAATTACTGTCCATACATATATATATTGTAAGCTCATTATTTAGTATTTTATGAATTTGAGTTTGGGGATCAGACCACTACTAGCAATTGCAATGTGATATTAATCCATTTGGTTTGCAGGACTGGGAGAGGGGTAAGCCTGAAATTTTTGGGTCCGCAGGAGTTTAAATTCTCTATTTTTCCCAGTTGGTAAACTGGAACAATCCTCTTGATCTAATGCAATGTGTTTTGAAAATGAGGCCTCTCATTGTAACAATGATGGGATTATACTATTTTAACTAAAAAAATGATGGGATTATACTAATTCACAATGTTTCAAGAAAAGTTGTAAGAATAACTACGTACAATTTGGTGGAGGCAGGTTTGTTCCAGTTGATGTTTTGAAAATGAGCCTTTTTGAGTTTGTTTCGCTAGATAGATGGAGATCGTAACTGGTCCGATCAGTTCTTGTTCGAAGGAACACTAGAAAATTTATCAAGAGTGGTTCAACATTCAAGTTCAGATTATGTTCGATTCAGTTTGCCGTGGTTGTCATTTTTCTCTGATGAAATATTATGTTCTGTAAATGGTTTTTTTATTTTATTTTAATGGAGGCTGGTTGTGGCAGCGAGTCTTTGAATGGCGATGATCGAGTTGCCGCCGGTGTTTAGTCGAAAAAATCAGGAATGGCGATTTGGGCAGAGTTGGGTCTGGTTGGCTTTGTTTAATTGTTTAAGGGGTATTTTCGTCTAATACATAACCCCCTAAACCGACTGCAGTTAAAATATTCCCTCACGATAGAGGGAAATTTTTTACTTAAAAAAAATCATAACTTTACTGTTTAATTTTAACTGATTGTTTATAACGCTACTGGCTAGTAATGATAGCTTTACTGTTTCTGGTGTAATGTTAATTATTTATTAATCGAGTAGTAAAGCTTGCTACTATATATATATATATATATATGTCTTAGTAGTTTTTATTTTTATTTTTATTTATTTATTTATTTATTTTTTTTATGATTTAAGAACTCTCCCACGCAAGTCCCTTGGAAACTCATCGTGGGCTACAAACCTGAAGGGTGAAGCCCTACCCAAAGACACCTCCAGATAAGTCCAAAAACATAAAGACTAGAGTTGAACCCGGCCTCGAATGTGGAAGCCCAAGCTCTAACCATCGCCCCGGCATATGGCTTGGTTGTTGTTGTTCGTTAATGAACAAATCATTTTCATCCTTGGCTTCTAGAAGCCATCCGCTTTGACTTTTCCCCTCTTGCTGCTTGAGGGGTTTTTGGCTCTTTTGTTTGTTCTGTTTGCTGCCTGAAGGTTGCGAGGAAATATCCGAGAAAATTCTATATATTTTATTAATTAATTATTTGTGATGTAGCCATTGACTTAGCCAAAAATATTACAGAAATTTCAATCCACTAGGCTGCACAAATCGCTCTCTCTCTCTCTCCGCCCTCAAGATTGTGAAATTGTTGCTAAAATTAATCGAAAGATGGGTTTGTGTTTCCCTCCTAAGACAGCTTGGGCACCTCTTTATTTCTTATTCCATGCTTTACTCATTCTCAGTACTATCGCCCCAGTTAACTCCAACACAGAAGCTGAAGCTAATTACATAAAGATGATATATTGGACTTCACCACCACCAATATTGAAAATTGGAATTCCAATCAGGACCTTTTCTGACCGGTTTGTGAGGATACAAACATCCATCAACAACCCAGATGAGAAGACATATGCTGGTTTTAGCATCGATTTGTTTGTGGAGGTGATGAAGACTTTGAGTTTTCATCTACCCTACCAGTTTGTTGAGTTCGATGGCACCTACGATGATTTACTTACTTGTGTCGCCAACCAGGTAATAAACCTCCTCTTTATCTATTGTGTCAACACAACATCCTCAACTCAGACCAAATCTTTTTTTACTTTCATATATACATCTTGAATTTTTTGTTTTTTTTTTTAATCATGAAATTCTTCTCAAACTAGTTTTACCAATTAAGAGTTCATTATTTTCTAATGAGGCTTAACTTTTTGTTGGCTTTGCTGTAAGGACAATGCTTAGTTACTCAACGTTGTGTGATTCAATAACAAAATAACATATCACCTTTAATAATAAAATAATTCACATTTTTTTTTTTTTTACTTTTTCGGATCAACTATTAAATAAACGTATATAATATTTTTAAGTGTAAATTATTTTATTATTAAATATGATATGTTATTTTATTATTGGATCACATAAGAGTGAATAGCTTCTTGCTCAATGAGTAGCTAAGCATTATCCTTACTGTAATATAACTTTGTTGAAATTAAGGGAACTAGTAACAATAGTTTTGGAAGAGAAACTTGTAACATTGTTTAGGGACACGGTTATACAGGCTTTAAGACCATATGTAAGTAACTAATTACATATATAAATGCGTAATTCCTCTCATTAACCCACTGGCATGAGTAATATCTGACTCTCGTTATTTTTTATTTTGCATAACTTTTACCATAGCACTAATTCCCATTTAAAACAAATAAGTACCAAATTCTTGAAAAGACTGAATACTAAAATCATTTTTATTTTGCCAACACTTTTTCCCTGATAAGTTATAAGAACACATTCTTTAATTATTCAATATTCCCTCATAAAAATTAATTATTAGCTAGTCATATTTTTCTTCGGCAATTACTTTTGAAAATTTCAGCAAAATTAATACAACGTCTATTCAAAAGTTGATATGCAATCCAAATTTTTTGTTTAGAAATTTCATTATGTTTAAAATTTTATAGTATAAATTAGGGCTGCAACTCGACAAGTTGGACAATATGATAGTACACCTTGAGCTCAATCCGACATATGAAATATTCAACCATAACTCAACTCTAACCCTAACAATTCAACCCAAGCCAAACTCAATTTTTTTTTTTTTCAACTTGAATTTGTAATTCGAGTAAAAAAGTCTGGTTAATTTGAGTAAAAAAGTCTGGTTACGGAGTAATTCGGATTATTCAAATGGCCAACCTTCATACTGAAAATATAATGTGATTTTAGATTATATTATTCTTAAACAAAAAAAATTGTGCAAACTCATTGTAAATTTTAATCAATTACAAGAAAAGTCTTAGAAAATTAAATTCTCCCAAGTGTTGACATATACCGTAATAAATTAAAATTTAAACAAAGAAAGTTGAAATGAAAAAAAAGTCATCATAATTTGAATATTATTGAAAAGTGTTGCATACTCACTCATTTATGCTCCTTTCATTTTTCATCCAGATCCGACATGGGACAGATAGCCCTCGTAACACCTACTATAAATTGGACTTTTTGTCATTTTATAAACTTTAGTTGCTACATAATTAATCTAATTTTCAAAATTACAGAAGTTATACTACTTGTAAAATTAATGATAAGATTTTAATTTATTGACTTTTCATAGAATTTGTAGCTTTTTTTTTTTTTTTTTGTTTGCAAGTTAAAGTCAATGTGAACTATACACCAGATATTTTAGTTGAGTTGAAATACATTTTATTTTGTTAATGATGGAAGACTTTTGATGCTGCGGTGGGTGATATAACGATAACAGCGGACCGTTCAAGGGTTGTGGATTTTACTTTACCATATACTGAGCAAGGTCGTCGTCTATTGCTGATGGTTTCAGTGAACCCCCAACCTCCCAACTTATGCTTGTTTTTGAAGCCATTCACCGTGCAATTGTGGTTTGCGGTCTGGAGCAGTTTGATATACACAATGTTCATAGTTTGGTTTTTTGAGCATCCCTCCAATCCTGAATTCCACGGTCGTTGGATCACCTTCTCTTCACTTTTCTTTGCTCACAGTTAAGTATCCTTCGCTCGCATTTTTGTTTTGAACCAAAGCATTTCATTCAACATATATTTGTATGTTTAAGCATGTGATTGTTTTGCACATAGGTTGTAGTAAGGAAAATCATAGTTTTCATGATACAAATCATAATATCTTTGTTTTTATCATACAAAATTGTTTTAGATTGTTTCGCATTTCAATTAAAATCTTAGATCACCAAAGGTTATAATGGATAAACCGAGTTTGTTACCGAACTCATTATGAATTGGGTACGTACCGTCGTACCCGTTGAACATCCAACCACTTTAATGACCCGCTTGATCATAAGCCCATGCTACTAGGCTCGGCCTAGTAATTCAATAATATAATAATTTAATACAGCTAAAGCGGATGGATTAGGCCTATTGAGTCCTTTAGGAATAAGCATGCCGGTATTTGTTAGCCACACAATTTTTTTTTTTTTCTTCCTAATGTTTGGTATTAAGCCTTCCATCCATTTTTTTTTTTTTTTTTTTTTTTTTTTTTGTTCTCCTCTATGTTTGGTCTTAAGCTTTGTGTTCTACTACTCCATTTTTGGAGTTGGGCTCACCAATCCTGTTTCCTCTTGGGACTCATGTAAATACCACTTCATATATAATAATTGTAACCTTCGGGAAAAATATATATATATATATATATATATAGAGAGAGAGAGAGAGAGAGAGAGAGAGTTATTGAAAGCACAATAAATGTTGTGATGACACTTGAGATGCTTTTGAAATTCACAAATTTGATTGGAAGTGTACTTAAAATTAAAGGTCCTGAAACTAATAACAAATTTCTAAAGATTAAGCAGAAGAAAAAGATGGGAGAATTTAAAAAAATAAATAAATAAAAGATAACTTTTGTTATTTTTATTGTACTAGTCAGGAGAGGTTATCTCCTTGCAGTGTTGGTTGAGATGAATTGAAATGAATCACACACAGTGGCCAAGTTTTTTTCTCATATATATAGACGATGAGTAAATTTTGCAGAGGGAAGGATTCAAAGCAACTATACTCGGGTGGTGGTGGTGGTGTGGCTTATTGTGGTGGTGATCTTAATACAAAGCTACGTTGCCAGCCTCACTTCAATGCTCACCGTCACAAGGCTTCACTCAGTACTGGAGAAGAATAGTAAAACAAAGTACTTGGACGGTGAATTTCATTTTAAGGAGTTGTACAACAGCAGGGAAGACATTGCCACCGAATCTCACTACGTCGACGCTTTCAAGAGTGGCAAAATCTCAGCCGCATTTCTCGAAGTCCCTTATGCAAAAGCTATTGACAGCCACTACTGCAATCAACTTGTGGTCACACAACCAATGCGTGAATTCGGAGGATTTGGCTTTGTGAGTGCTTGCTTCAACTCTCCTAATTCCTTGAAAATTGAAAGTCAATTTCTGTGGAAGTTAATTACCAGGCATATATATATATATATATATATATATATATATATATATGTATAGAGAGAGAGAAAAAGAATATAAGTTTTGATGAGTAGGAAAACTCACCAACCAATTAGTAAAATAAACAGTGTCTTTGAATCCTTTTAGTTTCTTGAACACCATCTTTCTTCATCACTAATCCATAAGCACTAGCTAACCACATACTTATTATTAACTCCACTTAAAATCATAAACAAACTGTGAATATTAGATTTTCGTCTTGCTCTAAGTGCAGGTATTCCAAAAAGGTTCTCCGATTGTTCACAATATCTCTACAGCCATTCTAAGCCTAATGCAGGACGGCACACTCAAAAAATTGGAAGATGAGTACTTCACTCCCTCCTCGGATTGTTCTAACTTCCAAACTGCCAAAAACAACAGTCGCCTGAGCCTCCAGCACTTCCGGGGTCTATTCATATTTTACCTAGCCATTTCCACCATTTGTATACTATTATTTGTAAAGCAACACCGCCGTGAAGTACTTCAAGAAGGCAACATCACGCCAACTCCGGTAAGTGCTTGGAAAAAATAACATTGCAGATTCAAGATATCCTGACAGGGCCCCAATCTCAGGTCATGCGCCAAATTATCTTGAAATGCATTAATTAAGCACAATACCTAGTTATGTTGTTTATCTAGATATAAAAATAAGAAGAATGCGACTAACTGTTTTTCTGTACATTAGCTAATATGTTTGTAAGCACAAATTTCCTGTCTGAATTCGATCCTTCGTATCCGGAAGAGGGATTTATAATTAAACACAACACCTAGTTATGTTGTTTATCTAGATATAGAAATAAGAAGAATGTGAAGAACACTCTGTTTTTTTCTGTACATTAGCTAATATGTTTGTAAGCACAAATTTCCTGTCTGAATTTAAGAACAATTATTCAATTTTATTATGAGATGTGGTGGAACCACATTCGTAGACTTCAGCTTGATAAAGAGATCTTAACAGTTTGATAGATCAAAGGGGGACTAAACCATCTCAAAACGTTAAGTGTCTACAATGTCATAATCCATTTATGAAATGTAATACTTATTGTTATTTTGTATCACAAATCAAAAAAAATGTGGACTAGAATAGAATGCAAGTATGATATACCTTCAAGTGCCCTATTAGGAAGGGTTTCACTGCTTCTTTCCAAGATAGATTGATTCTCTTATCTTCAATGAAAGAAAGTGATTTTGAATGCAATGGCTGCAATATTAAAAATTGTAGAAAAAATCAGTTTGAAAACACGGACATCTTCTAATAAGCCATGGGAGTTTCATTCCCTCACCTGTGTCATTGCCAAAATGTTATTGCAGGTTTGTAGTCCGGTAGTAGTATTCTGCTTTTGAGTTTTCTGCAGATTACATAGATTGCGAATCACATATATGCGACGAGAATTGGTTGGCAAGACACTATTCAAGATCTCCAGAGTGAACTCACAATGCTAGCCTTTGCTTCATCAAATGGTGGTCCTAGCTAGCTCTTCGACACTCCTTAACCTGTCTCAATGACATAGCACACTTAGGATGGAGAGATCAGTTCCAACCATATTCCATGTCAAACAATATAACACAGGCAGTCAATTTATCATCCCCACTTGTTGCTATTGCTATTTAAGTTGGTGAGAAAAATATGCATGATTTAGAAATAACAGAATAATGCTGAAAATATAATTTATTAGGATTACATGCAGTGACTGATTGTCGGACAGGTCAGGAAAGAGAACCCTATCAGATACTGACTGATTCTAGTAAACGAATCCAAACCCCATTACAAACCCTAGCAGGGGCAGGTAAGTCCATCACGTATAAAAGTGATAATAAATGTAAGAATTGATTCAATACTATCAAATACCTCACGACATGAAAAGAAAAAAAATATATAAAAAAAAATAAATAAATAAAATGATGATTTCCAACATGTTCATAGACGAGCCTTCAATCATACAGAGACAGGAATTCTGACAATTGATGATATCTCAATCTCGATCTTGGATATGAAATGGTAGATTGTAATATCTCCAGTGTCGTAGCTCTTCTTAATTTGAAAATGGCACTTCATCACAAATTAAAACCATTACAGATAATGAACTCTGGAACCTCCACTAAGAAAACTAGTGGTCGGAAAGTCAAAGAACAAGGCCCTCTGGCAGGGTTGCCTAGCAGCAAAGGACTGGAATTCAAACCACCTCAGATTTAGTCCTTCTTTTAACCATCAAAATTAAGTAGCCAAAAATTATATAAAGGGGGCAGGGTTCTCAATAATAGCTAGTACTGGGGCAGGTTTGCAGCTGGATGCCATGGAAAAGCACTAAACCAAAGCCCAAATCAGGTAACCTAATACTCGTCCAATTAATGGTCACCCAGAACTGTTTCGGCGGGGCATTTCAGGCCATAACACGGAACTAAAATGCCATCCCTAGGTCATCATTAAAACTGGTGTCACTAAAGCACTAGGGCTTTTGAGACTTCCCCAAGCAAAATCTCATTTTTTTCCCAATGCTAGCATAGGAGACCCTTGAGTTATTGTTGCCCTTTACAAGATTGATGCACATCCATGGTGAAACAACGTACTGTACTGTAAAAAATATACATCAGGGAAGGAAATAATAATAGAAATTTGTAGGTGATGGATGCATAGTGGGGCAAGGAGAATAAGGTAGACAAGAACCAACAATGGGATGATAAAAGAAGCGAAGCAATAATAAAGAAAATTGTAAATCTGAAAGTGGAATAGAGAAAAAGGTGATTGATTCAATTCAATGGGACCAAAAAAATCGAAGGCAGGCCATAAAAACACTTGTCATTACAGTGAGGAAACATGATAGCTTTGATTTCATAGAATGTAGTGACAAGATAGAGTTGAATGGCAAGATAGGATCTCTTCAACTGAGCACACTGCTATATTTGGAGAAGAAGTCTTTTCTAGGTTGAGTTGTACTACCAATCACCAGTCGCACAGTTTTGACATCAACAGAATGAAAGGGGCGATCTCGTGGTTCTTGGTCTGTGAAGATGCGTTGTTAGGTGCTCCATTTTATTTTCACATTGAGGCCAAACCTAAACCTGTGCTCAAGAGATTGATGTCCATACACTGATAAGGAATGTATGGATTCTCGAGAAGAGAGGAGCCCTGGTGGTCCCCCCCGGACATCTTCAAAACTGAAAGCTAATGCATATTGAGAGAACTGACAAAAAGCAGTAAATAAAGTGCAACCGGTACCATGCTGATGCAACCTTGTGTAATGACGGAGAAAACCATCCACCAATCAAACTATATGACTTCAAATTTTGGGTTCACACTCCAACCCTGAGGTTTATTTTCCTTTAGCAGAACTGTGCCTCTGGCACTGTCAACTCTCTCCTCCCAGACCATCATGGCTTTACCTTCTTCCCAAGAGAAATGGCAATTGCGCAGCTAACAGTCTGACATAGAAAACATACATAATGCTCCTATATCCTAATTCAATCCACCTTTAAGATGTGTCCAAGTTCCAAATAATCAATGAAATAAACAAATTATGAAAGTTAACTGAGTGGTGGTTTCAATCCCCTGTATCAACAAAATTGTCTGGACTAAAATCAGGAGCAGTTTCTAGAATTGCAGAGATAGAGAGACAAAAATAAATAAATAAATGAGCGTCAAAGAGACCACTTCTTTCCTCCCAGTTGTACTTGTACCTGAAATTCTGAAGATCTTCTACGTTGCCACTTCCACCATTTGTATACAACTATTCATCATTCACTCACTTGACAATCAGCAACAACGCAATGAAGTTCAAGAAGGCAACGTCACATCAACTTGGAACAAGATACTTCCACACTCACCCAATTTTTGAATAATGCAGATTCAAGAGATCATGGAAGGACTCCTCACTCAGGTCATGCGCCAAATTATATTGAAATGTGTTAATTAAACACCTAGTTGTGTGTGTGAATACTAACCTAATTGTGTGTGTGAATACTAACCTAGTTGTGTGTGTGAATACTTACCTAACACACACAAACAAGACACCCAGTTATGTTGTTTAACTAGATATAAAATAAAAAGAATGAAAAGCATGTACTGATTTTCTGTTATTTAGCCAATATCTTTGTAAACATCCAAGAATCTAAGAATAAAAATATGAAACAAATATTCAATTTTATTAGTTTCAGAAAGAAGTACAATTCTCTGTTGCATGATAAAGAATGTTCCTGAGATTAAATCTCCTTAATATTTTCGGGTGCAAGGGCTGCAAAGACCTTGATCATAAACTGGTTAGAATTGGCTTTCTTCAAATCTTCAAGATTGAATTCAGAAACTTTGATGGTTGGTAGAGTCAGAAGTTTTGGTAGAGCATCTCTCTGTGTGTCTTGAAAGTGTTAAGTGACCTAGTATTTATAGGCCAAATGGTGGACCCGCATTTGTAGACTTCGACTTGATCAAGAGAACTTGATTTTTTATCAAGTGGACAGTGATTAAACCATCTCAAAACTAGTGTATACAATGTCATAATCCATATAATATATATTACTTTATTTTGTGGACAAATGAAAAATGTGGCCTAGAATGTAAGTACAAGGTTCATGTAGGGCTATAATGCAAATTAACTGAAATGTTCATAAGCAGTTCAGGATCAGTTTAGGCTCGTTCATTAAGTTAATGAGTTGAGCTCGTGCACGATTTTTGAGCTCGTTTAATAAAAAGTTAATCCCAAACATTGTTAAGCTCAGTTCATGAACATCAAGGTCATGTATATTTGTATGTGTTCATGAAGATAGGCTCATAAACATAGGCATACATAGATTCATGAACGTATGCTACATGGACTTGTGTAGGCTCGTAAAAAATTCATGAATAGCTTAAACATAGCCCGAACACAAACTCTGAGCTCAACTTTACAAGCTTGCCACCATTCCAAGCTGAAACGAACCGAGCCCAAAGAAACTGAATGCAACATAAAAATTGTTCCTTCATTTAAGTGCATATAAGTCTCTACACATACAAGTGTTATCAAACATTCAAACCTCTCTCCCAGAGGCAATGTGGGACATCATATTAAATGTGCGTGTTGATTATGAACCGTAAACTGCATTTTCCTCTATTTATTACGAGTAAGGTTTAGTACATTGTTCACACAAAATACAAAGTAACTAAATGCAACATAAAACTGTTCCTAAAGAATAAATTCTAATGTTCTCATGTCCAGACTCCAATTGTGTTGAATGATCTATTTCGTATTGCTGTCCAGATTGTGACTCTTCAACTAATCATACATCCCAACTCGCAGAACTTAATAAGAAAATGAATAGGATTACTAAAAGAGTTACTTATGGAGTCTTTAATACTGCTGTAATTCTAGAGAAAGCAGTATTTGGATAAAGTGGGCTGCTCAATTCTATCTAATTAAAAATAGACACATATGGGACATCAAGAAACCTTAGCAAATTACATGGATATGGAGGAAGCTACTTCAATTGAGAAGAGTAACCAGGCCTATGCTGAAAAAATCAAAGTGGGTAATGGGGAGCATACCTTCTTCTTCTGGCTAGATCCATGGTGTCTGAGTCTCAAAGTAGTCCTCCGATTGATAGATTTCGTGATGCAAATCTCCACCTTCCCTTTATTTCCAAATATGTCAAGCTCTGTTTTTACATCCATTGACTGGGAGCTACCATGGCCCTTTCTCAGTCCTCCTGGTCGCCGGGGTGGTAAAATTGCTCCACCGTTGTCTCATCTGGTGGTCGGATTCCAAAAGAGGGGTTGCTTGTTCGTTTGGGTTGGGCCTAAAGTCCTTTCGAGACCATTGTGTCTCATTTTGTTCGCTTTTGTTGGGCTTTGCACATGGCCTATGGGCTTCCAAAGAAAACAAAAAATATTCTATTCGAGGGATCAAGACACAATGACCTTTGGTTCTTTGCTAGGTAGCATGATACGGACACGTTAGACTTTAAGAAAATAGGATACTGGTACACTTAGACATGATTATATAAATATAAATTTTTATTTATATACATATATTGGAGTAATAGTATTTTTAATTTTTATACTAAGAGTTGTAATAATTTTTTTATCATAAATATAATATTCCTGTAATGTTGTGATATATACGTATGTATATATAATTAATGTTAAAAGAAATAAGGCAAATGGGCCCCACCCATGTTATAAACACACAAAAGGCCATAAGGCCATTACACGAGTCCACCTTTCTCTCTCTCTCTTGCTGTAATCAGACTGCTCTCGGCAGTTTCTATTTTTTTTTTTCTTTTTGCAACTTCAAACCTTGATCTTGCTTTTTCCTTTGGGAATTTGGTAGAAAATTGTGAAGCAAAGTTGTTGAACTCTTCGAGGCCGTTAATTTGATAGGAGCCAATCATCATTTGGTGCACTCTAGGGAGTTCAAAATTCTAGGGTTATTGGGCTCAAATTGGGGGTTTTCATCAATTTGAGGTAGGGGTATTCTAATCTACAATTTCTTGGCCTTTGGTGAATTTTTCCCCTTAAATTTGATTCTAAGTATGCTAAATTTTAATTACTTAGCTTATTGTTGTTGTAGTTCTTTGTAATTACAATGATAATTGTGCTCCTTGTGTTATTTGAGTTCATATACATGTCTATTTTCATTACGGTAACTGAGCATGCTTAGTGTTTAATGTGTTGTATGTTCCACGATTATTTATTTATTTATTGTCTTGAAGAAAAATGGATGCTATGGTTATAAATAAATAAATAAATAAAGGAAATGAATGTTTAGAAATTTTCATTAAATTGTGATCCTGATGTAAATGGAAATGTATGAAAACATATAGTTAAATTAATGATTTGAAGCATGAAGCATTCATGCATCCATTGGGAAAGAGAAAGGGGGAAAAATAATTGTTAGAACAAATAAAATTATTTTGGGTAAAATATTTTCTAAAAGTGTTGCGAAAACCGGACGCCTAGGAGGCGCCTAGTGGTCCGTGATATTGGTGTAGTCTAGAAGGGAATGTAGTTGAGTTAACTAGGCCGGATGTGACGCCTTGGAGGTGCCTTGTGGTCGTGGATAGTTAACCAACCTTCCTTTCGTGACGCCATGGAGGTGCCTTGTGGTCGTGGATAGTTAACCAACCTTCCTTTCGTGACGCCATGGAGGTGCCTTGGGTCGGACTACACTAACGGTTTGGTTGTTGAAACGGAATTGTTTCGGAAATGGGGAGTGACATTTGCATAACATTGCACTTTATGACATCGTGGTAAATTTGTGATTGGTTGATATTTGTTATATACTTGTTATTGTGGTTGAGAATGTGCATATCCCGATAGCATGATCCCGTTCACTTTTTATTTATTCATTGCATGGATTCACGGGGACATAAGAAGTGTGTCTTAGACTGAGCTTGAGCTTACCCCCTTATTTTTAACATTTTTTCAGGATATGAAAAATAGGTGGCGAACGACGGTCCACCACAGGTTTAGATGAGCTTGAAGACCCATTCTATTTTGTTATCTTTTGTATTAGACTCTAGTATTTTGTAAATGTAATATTAACTACCTTATGACACTTTAGTTTAATTAGTATAATGTTGTAAGCTATGGACTTTTAATTCTAGCTACGTTTTATGGACTGTAATTTGATGTAACTTAAGTGGGTTCCATGTTTGGATAAGATGGAAGAACGGGACTTTTATATGTATGTAACCATTTTGGGAATGTAGTATAATATTTAAATTGTGCGTTGGGACATGATAAGTTAGATTTAAGGCCCAGTGAGGCCATTGCATTTATTTTTGTATTTTTACAGGTTGTTGAGGGACATTTTTTGCAGAAGTCATGCCGAAATTTTTATAGATTATTATTATTATTTTGGTATCTATTCGAGTCGTTACAAGTTTGGTATCAGAGCGATGGTTCGAATACCATTAGGATGACGGGTAGAGGCCTACCTAGGATTGCATGGGGAGTTGAGTTATTTGCTTACTTGTTTAATTGCTTATGTGATTGCATGCTTATATGTTTATGTGTTAAGGTGTTTAATTATTTGAAAGGCATGCTTAATTGTTTATATCATTACGTGTTAAGTGGTTAATGTTGTTGTATATTATTATGATTATGTTTATCCTTAGTTAGGTATTTTGGAAGTATGGAAGGTATTTATGTGTTTTCATTTTTGTCAAGTCATTCATGTGAGGACTCCGTTTTCGTGCGTATTTTAGTGTTATCGTAATTGATCCGTTTCCTTTTCTTATAGCTTCATGGCAACACGAAGGGATCCCGGGGAAAGTTGTAGCTCCAATCTCGTGGAAAGGGATCAGGAGCAAGTTGAGGAAGATATCTTATTGCGTGATTTGGTCCCACCAAGAGAGGGACAAGCGAGGGGGACCGTTGACCCACCTTTTCAAATAAATAGGGAGCAGTTGAGGTTAGCCGTTCAGGAGGCTCTTTTTAATACATATCGACCGACAGGTGCGTCATCGTTACAGTTTGTGCCACCACCGGCACCACCACCACCACCTCAAAAAAAAAAAAAATGAGTTAGATGATACTCTTTACCACATTGCAAAGTTTGTGAAATTGATGCCAACTTTGTTTGAGGGCGGTCCAGATCCGCTTGTTGCGGATAGTTTCATGGATAGGGTGGAAAAGCATATTAATGCCATGAATTTGGCAACGGACAAGTTGCAGATTACATTGGTTACTTACAATTTTGTGGGCGATGCTGAGATTTGGTGGAAGACCGTTTCTCACACCCATAATCTGGATACTATGACATATGCTACATTCAAGAAGTTGTATTATGAAAAGTACTTTCCGGCGCCTAAGCGGAGGGAACTAAAGAAGGAGTTTGATGCGTTTAAGCAAGGAAGCATAACAGTTACAGAGTATGAAAACAAGTTTACATCACTTTTGAGGTTTGCACCGGGAATTGCTAATGATGAAGAAGGAAATATAGAGAAATTTGTTGATGGCCTTGATCTTACCATTAGGCCAATTGTAGCTACTTTAGAACCGACAGAGTATGCAAAAGCAGTGCGAAAGGCTTTAGTGGTTGAGGCTGAGAGCAAGGACAACAAGGCTATCAGGGAGTCCTACAAGCACAACAGGGGTATGAGTACTTTCTCTGAAGGTCAATCAAGTAAGAAGCGGAAGCATGAGCAGTCAGGGTTCAGGGGACAGCAGCTAGTCAAATCTGCACCCACAGCTTCAGTGTCCATAGGGTCTTCTAAACCGAATGTTACTTGTTTTAGATGCGGGTAGTTGGGACATTACAAGTCCCAATGCACTCAGACACAGGTAGCTCAGATGATTTGTTTCAAGTGTGGGCAGCCAGGGCATCACAAGTCCCAGTGTACTCAGATTCAAGTGGCGTCTGGTGGATGTTTCGGGTGTGGCCAGCAGGGCCATAGGGTGAAAGATTGTCCACAGCGGGGCAGTGGTTTGGGCAGAGGTGGAGGTTCACAGCAGAGGCAGATGCAGTCTGCCACAGTTCAGTCAGGGTTTCGACCACCACCTTAACCGTCTCAGCCAGCTATGTCAACCCAGAGTTCTCGACCTGGTAGGGGAGCTTCTTCGAGTGCACCTACTCAGCAGTCTGGCTATTAGGCAGGCAGTTCTTAGGGGCAGAGGACCCAGGGTTGCGTGTTTGCACTCACTCTAGCCGAGTCACCATCCAGTCCTTTAGTTGTCAGGGGTATGTTTCTTGTGTCCCATTCTTGGGCTCGTGTATTGTTTGATTCAGGTGCTTCTTATTCATTCATTGCTTCATCATTTGCACGGGCATTGGGTTTGGAGGTTAGTCAGTTAGACAGATCGCTTTGTGTTGACACGCCTATCGGGGGTTCAGTTGCTCTTAGTAGAGTTTGTAGGAGTTGTTACATCACAATTACCGGACGTGTTCTTGAGTTCGATCTCATCCTTCTCGAGATGACGGGATTTGACGTCATTCTTGGGATGGACTGGTTATCATCCTTCAGAGCTGTCATTGATTGTTTCAGGGGCAGAGTTTCAGTGTGTACCTCGGATGGGGATTGTTTTTGTTTTGTGGGAGATCGGTGTGATCCTCTCACTCATTCATTTTATGGTGTTAGGGGTCGAGATCGGCAGACATTCTTCCTAGCTCGTCTTTTTGCCGATGATGACGTTGAGTTTTATGGGGTTGATTATCCAGTGGTTGTGCGTGATTTTCTGGATGTGTTTCCGGAGGACTTGACTGAGTTGCCTCCACACCGAGAGGTGGAATTTGCTATTGATTTGATGCCTGGTACCGCGCTAATCTCTATGGCACCGTATCGTATGGCACCGATTGAATTAGAAGAATTGAAAAAGCAACTTGATGATTTGAGGATGAAAGGCTTTATCCTACCGAGTGTGTCACTGTGGGGTGCACCGGTCTTGTTCGCTAAGAAAAAAGATGGTTCTTTGAGGTTGTGCATTGATTACCAAAAGTTGAATCATACCACCATCAAGAACAAGTATCCTTTACCAAGGATAGATGATTTATTTGATCAGTTGAGGGGAGCCAGTTGTTTTTCGAAGATTGACTTGAGGTTAGGCTATTATCAGTTACGGGTTAGAGAGGAGGATATTCCAAAGACCGCGTTTCGTACGCGGTATGGACATTATGAGTTTCTTGTTATGCCTTTTGGTTTAACCAATTCGCCGGCGGCATTCATGGATTTAATGAACCTTGTCTTCCACGATTACTTGGATCAGTTTGTGGTAGTTTTCCTGGATGATATTCTTGTGTATTCACGGACTCGGGAGGAGCACGAAGTTCATTTGGGTATAGTGTTGCAGATTCTACGGGAGCATCGTTTGTACGCCAAGTATGAAAAGTGTGAGTTTTGGCTACAAGAGGTGAAATTTTTGGGACATGTTGTCTCGGAAGGTGGGGTTTCAGTTGATCCTTCAAAAATAGAGGCAGTTTTGAGTTGGGAGCAACCCAAGAATGTCTTTGAGATCCGGAGTTTCCTTGGCCTAGCGGGTTATTATCGGAGATTTGTGAAGGATTTTTCTCGTTTGGCAGCTCCTATGACCAGATTGACCAGGAAAGGGATCAAGTTTGCATGGAATGAGGCCTGTGAGTCATCCTTTCAAGAGTTGAAAACAAGGTTGACTACGGCTCTGGTGTTGGTGATACTTGAGCGTGGCTTGGGTTATGTAATCTATTGTGACGCCTCACGTGATGGTTTGGGTTGTGTACTGATGCAAGATGATAGGGTAGTGGCTTATGGGTCTCGACAGTTGAAGACTCACGAGCTTAACTACCCTACTCATGACTTAGAGTTAGCGGCAGTTGTATTTGCTTTGAAGTGTTGGAGACTCTATTTGTATGGTGAGAGATTTGAGGTGTTCTCGGACCACAAGAGTCTCAAGTACCTTTTCTCCTAAAAGGACTTGAACAATAGACAGATGCGATGGTTGAATTCTTAGAAGACTATAACTTTGATTTGCAGTATCATCTTGGCAAGGCAAATGTGGTAGCTGATGCTTTAAGCCGAAAATCTCGTGGGACTTTGGCTAGTTTAGCCATTCGAAAATGGAAGATGCTGGAAGATTTGGCTGAAATAGGATTGTATTATTTTGATGATGATGATGATGGCAGTGAGTCAGCATTCTTGTTTAGTCTCGTGGCTCAACCCACTCTTGTTAGACGGGTGATTGAGTCACAGAGACAGGATTCAGATTTGGATGCCATTTACACTTTGATCTCTAGTGGCGAGACCGTGAAGGATTGGACCTTACATGCAGATGGAGGTCTACGGTTTAAGGGTTTGTTGGTTGTTCCTACAGTTTGTCGTGAGGACGTCTTACGGGAGTTTTATACTTCCCGCTTTGTAGTTCATCCAGGTGGTACCAAAATGTATCACAATCTGAGACGTCAGTATTGGTGGAATGGAATGAAGAAGGATGTTGCACAGTTTGTAGTTAAATGCCTTACCTGTCAGCAAGTGAAGGCCGAGCACCAGAGACCAGCTGGTTTATTGCAGCCATTGCCGGTAGCGCAGTGGAAATGGGAAGAGATTGCAATGAATTTTGTGACGGGCCTTCCTAGGTCACGGAGGGGAAATGAAGCTGTATGGGTCATTATCGATAGATTGACCAAGATGGCTCACTTCTTGCCTATTAAGGCAACAGATGACGCAGAGACACTCGGTGTACTTTATGTAAAAGAGATTGTGAGATTGCACGGAGTTCCAGTGGCTGTTGTGTCGGATAGGGATGCTAAGTTCACCTCGAAGTTCTGGGAAGGACTTCAAGCAGCGTTTGGCTCAGCGTTGCACCTTAGTACTGCATTTCATCCACAGACGGATGGCCAGTCTGAGCGTACCATCCAGATCTTGGAGGATATGCTTCGAGCCTGTGTACTTGACTTGGGTGGTAGTTGGGAGGATCACCTTCCACTTATTGAGTTTGCCTACAACAACAGTTATCAGGCGAGTATTCAGATGGCTCCATTTGAGGCGTTGTATAGTAGACCTTGTAGGTCTCCTGTCTGTTGGACCGAGGTGGGCGAGACAGCCACCTTAGGACCCGACATTGTACTCGAGACTATCGAGAAGATTAAGCTGATCAGACAGAGATTACTTATAGCTCAGAGCCGACAGAAGAGTTATGCAGATAGGCGGAGACGACCGCTATCCTTTGAGGTGGGAGACCATGCTTTTCTTCGGGTTTCTCCAAGGAAGGGGTTGATGAGGTTCGGGAATAGTGGCAAGTTGTCGCCACGATTTATTGGACCTTTTGAGATCTTGAACCGTGTAAGAGAGGTTGCCTACAGATTAGCATTGCCACCGCAGATGGACAGGGTCCACAATGTTTTCCATGTATCGATGCTACGGAAGTATGAGCCGGATCCGTCTCACATTTTGAGTTGGGTTGATCTGGACATTAGTGAAGATGTTTCCTACGAGGAGGGATCAGTTCAGATTCTTGACACACAACAGAAGGTGTTGAGGAAAAAGACGATATCGTTGGTAAAGGTTCTTTGAAAGCATCATAGAGTTGAGGAGGTTACTTGGGAGCTCGAACAGGAGATTCGCTCCAAGTATCCAGAGTTATTTTCTCCCTCAGGTATGGCCTGATTTCGGGGACGAAATCTTTTAAAGTTGGGGAGAATGTAATGTTGTGATATATATGTATATATATATATAATTAATGTTAAAAGAAATAAGGCAAGTGGGCCCCACCCATGTTATAAACACACAAAAGGCCATAAGGCCATTACACGAGTCCACCTTTCTCTCTCTCTCTTGCTGTAATCAGACTGCTCTCGGCAGTTTCCATTTTTTTTTTTTTTCTTTTTGCAACTTCAAACCTTGATCTTGCTTTTTCCTTTGGGAATTTGGTAGAACATTGTGAAGCAAAATTGTTGAGCTCTTCGAGGTTGATAGGAGCCAATCATCATTTGGTGCACTCTAGGGAGTTCAAAATTCTAGGGTTCTTGGGCTCAAATTGGGAGTTTTCATCAATTTGAGGTAGGGGTGTTCTAATCTACAATTTCTTGGCCTTTAGTGAATTTTTCCCCTTAAATTTGATTCTAAGCATGCTAAATTTTAATTACTTAGCTTGTTGTTGTTGTAGTTCTTTGTAATTACAATGATAATTGTGCTCCTTGTGTTATTTGAGTTCATATACATGTCTATTTTCATTACAATAACTGAGCATGCTTAGTGTTTGATGTGTTGTATGTTCCATGATTATTTATTTATTTATTGTCTTGAAGAAAAATGGATGCTATGGTTATAAATAAATAAATAAATAAAGGAAATGAATTTTTAGAAATTTTCGTTAAATTGTGATGATGATGTAAATGGAAATGTGTTAAAACATATAGTTAAATTAATAATTTGAAGCATGAAGCATTCATGCATCCATTGGGAAAGAGAAATGGGGAAAAATAATTGTTAGAACAAATAAAATTATTTTGGGGAAAATATTTTCTAAAAGTGTTGCGAAAACCGGACGCCTAAGAAGCGCCTAGTGGTCCGTGATGTTGGTGTAGTGTAGAAGGGAATGTAGTTGAGTTAACTAGGCCGGATGCGACGCCTTGGAGGTGCCTTGTGGTCGTGGATAGTTAATTAACCTTCTTTTCGTGACGCCATGGATGTGCCTTGGGTCGGACTATACTAACGGTTTGGTTATTGAAACGGAATTGTTTCGGAAATGGGGAGTGACATTTGCATAACATTGCACTTTATGACATCGTGGTAAATTTGTGATTGGTTGATATTTGTTATATACTTGTTATTGTTGTTGAGAATGTGCGTTTCCCGATAGCATGATCCCGTTCACTTTTTATCTATTAATTGCATGGATTCACGGAGACATAAGAAATGTGTCTTAGACACTTCCTACTGAGCTTGAGCTCACCCCCTTATTTTTAACATTTTTTCAGGATATGGAAAAGAGGTGGCGGACGACGGTCCACCACAAGTTTAGATGAGCTTGAAGACCCATTCTGTTTTGTTATCTTTTGTATTAGACTCTAGTATTTTGTAAATGTAATATTAACT